GCCCGCGCGCATCGTAATGAATGGGCCACTCCGCGCTCGCTCGCTACTTCCTGCAGGAGGTTGGGCTGCTGTTTGTGTGATAGGGCGTTGACTCGAGCTGGGAACCACGGTGCTTTTGTCGTAATCGGCGGCGGCGGCGGCAGCAGCGATGACAAACCACAAACCCACAGGGCCATGACAGGGCCCACTCGTTCCTTGCGTGGTCTCCAAGCACACTTCTAGGTCTCACAGCAGCGAGAGTGTGCGTGTACGCACAAGTATGTGCATGTGTGTATATGCGCTGCGCTACGAACCCAGTGACCCGAGTTAGATTCCTGCTGACAGCCATACACCAGTGACAATTGTCTGAACCGACCCTGGAATTCCCAGTGGCTTTTTTCAGCCTCAAATGAGTATCTAGTGTGGTGTGTAAACATCGCCACTAGGGAGACAAAGGCGGCGGGGCGTGGTGTTCGCCAACCACCCCCTCGTGTGCCGTGGTGGCCTTCATAGGTGCTCTCGCTAACAGCACTTTCCCCAAAAGTCTGCTCAGGCTACACGGGGATGTTTGGAGTTTGTTAACGCGCCGCAAGACAAACCTGGCAGCCAGTTTGACTTCTAGCCACTGCTAGCATTGGTGGCGAGTGATATCTGAACCGGTCCCGGGCCTCTCCGCTCACCAACCAACTCACCAGCGTGAAGTGTGGTCAAACAACACGCATGATGAGCTCCATTGTGTGGGTAGGGAGGCCTTCACCCAGTACTGGGGCTGACAGACGTCTGTAAATAATTCATTATTAGTTTTTTGCACGGTGCAGATCGGGTTGCCCCTTGAGAGGAAGCCACTCAAACACGACCCGGGGTCACTGCATCGTTCGCCAGTCGCAGGGCGCATTGCCAACGTCTTGGAGCGACTGAGAACGTCTCAGGGCGACCGCCGACATCTGAGAGAGACTGCAGACGTCTCAGGGAGACTGCGGACGTTTCAGGGCAACTGCGACCATCTCAGAGCGACCGAGGACGTCTCAGAGGGACTAGTCGCACCGGGTGGCCCTTGGACACGAGCGGGCTGCGAGGGGGGGGGGCACACCTCACGGGGAAAAAACCGACGGCAATCGTTGGGGATGGTCGCGCGGCTGAGCCTCGCGCCACGTCGTGACGTCCCTACGTTACCATCGCGCGCTGCTGGGCAGAGTTTTGTGTGAGAAAAAGGGATCTTCGGTTGTTGTTTTTTTATGGCGAGTCGCATTTTTCTACCAAAACTGTGCCAATCTCTCGATCTCCGGCAATGCGGCAAATTTTCTAGCCGGTGTTGCGCCCATTTTGATTGAAATAGAAATTAGAGCCCAATACCAATACAATAATGTATACATTCAACAAGGTATAATATAGGTACAAGGATACGGTTTTCATTCTTTAAATATAATTAATCACCCTGTCGTCAAATCAGCTTAACATGGAAAAGGCCATTTAGACTAAGGTATTAAGACCTATTTAGTCACAGCATCACACACTTTCAGATAAGCCTCATCAGCCGTCTGGAGGCTCTTCAGATATTAGGAAGCCACTGGAGCTATCCACTTTTATATCATCTCGACTAAAAACTAATTTCTTTAGAACCGCGTTTTGTGTTTAGTAAGTTGTCCTTCCCGACACCTCCGATTAGCACGGTTGGCTACGTACGGTGCGAAAGAAGTTCAACATTCATACAAATGGATATCAGTTTTTTTTGGATTCAATAATTCTCCATCTGACAATTTGTTAGACAATTTGTTACCCAAGGCCTTATGTTTACAATACACACGAGTGGTGTCACGCCCCACCACCACCACCTCCCACACTGCTTAAATGATTCCTGCAACTAATATCATGTTTTCCCACGTTTATAAAAATTATCACATTTACCCAGCGAACGTAATTTACACTGAGTGCGGCAATGCCAGGCATTTGTGGCTGCCGTGTTGTGTACAGCCAAGCTTATTGTTCAGATGGAGTTTGCTGACGCTTTGGCCAATCTCACTGTGCCACTGAGCGTTGGACAACGTTAAAACGGTGAGGCCTGTAGAAAAGACAAATGCAACCATGGATTTTTCCATCCACATTGATAATAAACAAGCGTTTAGAGTATTTGGCCCCTATTAAATTCCCACACCATAAGCCACTTCGTTAAGCTGTCGTTTGTGCCAGGTCGCTTCTGAAAAAGATATATAGCTCAGTGGGCCTTACATGGTGAAATATATTTTTTTAAAGTGTCACATCACTGGGTAAGCCCAACCATCCCGCTTGCCAAATATATAGCTCAGTGGGCCTTACATGGTAAAATATATTTTTTTAAAGTGTCACATCACTGGGTAAGCCCAACCATGCCGCTTGCCAAATTCAAAATGTACACAATAGCCTTGGCTGGGGGTGGCTCTGGGGGAGATATATCGACTTAAAACCACATGTCGGGCAGGCGTCAAAGGCTTGGTTATGTAACGGGGAGACCATCGCGACAAGCACAGGGGAGATGCGACAATAAATGCCCTCACCGTGGTGCGTAACGACCGTATGGAGCGTCGCGGCGTCCGTCTGCAAATGCGTTCCCACGAGTCGGACCCAATCACTGCTCACTGCAATGCTAATTTATCGGGCGCGGGTTTTACGCGATGGGGTGATGGCGATTACGATGCGTACTACGGCACGACATGTTCCACATATGTCACTTGTCTTGAGGAGGGGGGGCCCATTTAGGTGTCACACACAGAGCATTGGCACGGCCGTGTAGTGACAAGCTTACCAATTACCGCAGAGGGGCGTCTGCAGCAGCGGCATGGGGCAGACAGGCATGGGCTGGCGCCCGCCTCGGGAGCGCCAGACTCACAAAGCGATAACGGAAAGGTTCCGAGTTCTAGAACCTTGTGCAGGGGTCGAGTTATACAGCCGGTACCACTTGGTGCCGTGGTCCCCGCCACGGGAACCTGGAAAATATTTACCACTGGTTCAGGGATATATTTGTTTAGGAGCACTTTGCCTCGATGGAATAATCTACAATTGTCTGACGGTAGTAGAGGTTTCTTTTATTTTTATCCAGTGGATCACACTGCGTAATATTTACAGTTAATGTGTTTTACGCATCGGTCTTGAGATAAAAACTCAAAACAAATCGCACAATTAACAAGCTCAAGCACATGTGTGGGTGCACGGAGTTTCCCTACTACTATTAGCAGTGGCCCTCGTCAATCCACTGCTGGATGAGTGCTTCCCAGGGGCAATGCGGGTCGTGGCAGGGGGGGGGGGGGGGGGTAATTGACCAAATTTTACCACGCTGGGTCTGCTGCACAACATTTTTATATATCACATTTTCTGAAACTGTGCACATGAATGCATTGCCGATGCTATGGAGAAATATCAACGTGGGTGTAGTGGTAGGGGTGGGACCTGCCAGCACATCTCACGTTCTCTCGCGGTTTTTGTGCGAATCTCTCATGATTCGGCACGTACCCTCATCCCACAGAGAGGGGACATCGCACACGTCCCTGTCACGACGACCCCCAGCATCGCGCGTCACACACACGCAGCAGGAGCAGCAGCAGCAGCATCAACAATGTGCCTACACAGCTGCGCCGGGCGTTCGCTCACAGCAGCGGTCGGCAACAAAAGGGAGACATTTTGTTTCGAATATGCCCAAATCACTCTATTTCAACAGCCGCAATGCCATGTGAATATGAGACGGTGGTGGCCCTTAAACAATGTCACGAAGCAGTCCTTAATGAGCCGCAGGTTTCCGACTGGCCTCCCATGGTAGACCGGACTCTACCATGGTAGACCGGACTCCCATGGTAGACCGGACTCCCATGGTCAGAAGTCGGCAACCCACACATAACAAGATACTTTTTCGAATTCGATAAAAAAAACTCAATATTTTTCAAGAGCCGCAACGTCGTCCTTGTAGAGCCACTGGCTCACAGCAATGCAAGGGGGCATTGTGAGTCTCACTAACCACGCACCCACCATCTCCTTGGCACACACGTGGAGCAGTAGTAGTACTGTCGTTCTGTAGTCATGAACGATAGAGCTCACTCACCTGCTGACACATTTAAATGCCTTAATCAAGTAATTTGCAACCACTCAACCAGGCCCACGGGTATGGAATTCCACATTCCTACGGCAGGGGCCAGTCGATCACCAAATGAGAGGAGCGACTAACGAATGGTATACGAGACGGAACCTTTTAAATCCAAGCGAGCGCCGCACAGATGGATCTCTTCTCTCCCAGGTAAACGAGGAGACACCCCCCGTGTGGCCACTGAGCCGCCTTCGTTTAAGCCACGAGAAATGTCCCGCGACGAGGATGGCGTACGGAGATGATGAGTGGAAGATGATATAAGATGAGTGGGAGATGAGTGGGGAGATGAGTGGAAGATGGTGATGCAGAGAGATGATATGGGAGATGGTGAGAGATGATTATTAGGAGATGCGTGACAGTGAAGACGGTGGTGACGACTCAAGAGGTCTCTACTGAACACAAGTGAAAAAGCTCGTGTGTAGCTGATGGGATTCCTGCGGCATGAATAATAATAATAAAACATCGTGGCGATTCTCTCAATGGCGACGACCCCGGCGCCGCTGCAGAGCGCTCCGACGATAGGAATCGGCCGCGATCGATCTACTGCTGGATGAAGGACCACACAACACCGCACCACAGACACGAACCACACACCACACTCACGAACCACACGCACACCGCACCACACACACATCCCACACACCCACACCGCACACACACCACACTAACCACACACACATCCCACACCCACACCGCACCACACTCACGAACCACACACACACCACACGTTCACCGCGGCAGTCGCCATCCCCAATCAGCTGGGCTCACGGTTCTAACTCGAAGCGGCCATCGGCTCCACAGAGACAGAGAGAGTCAGAGTCTGTGGAGACACCGCACCACCACCACCGCCGCCGCAGTTAAAGGATCCTGAGGGCCCGCCACTTGCGACCACCGCTGCCGCAGCGCTACCCACCTCGTCCTCCTCCTCCTCGGCTCTTTTGTTTCGCTGGGCGGGGGGTGGCAGCAGCAGTCGCCGCCTCGGCGACTTCCACGCGCGAACCGAAGACGATTTCTAGTTTGTCTTCTCTCGCCGATGGCCCTACGGCCGCTGCGGTGGCACAAAGCAAGAGGAGGGGGGGGCCCCCGTTTAAGCCTCGACACAGCCGCACCTCGCTCGCCCCCCTCTCTTTATTAAAGCCTCGCTCGCCCCCCTCTCTGTATTAAAGCCTCGCTCGCTGCTCACGCCAGCTCTGTGCGTTGAGGTGGTGGGCGGGCCTGGGTCTCGCCTCCCTTATATAGACCCCTACGCGTGACGTAACAGATCGCTGCCGCGCATGCGCACTTGGGCCAACCCCTCCCCACACCACCCCTATCACCACCCCTCGCGACAAGTGACGAGCGAAGGAATCGATCCGCATTCGCCGTTTAGGCTACGTTCGATTCTCACGTTCGCGTGTTACACGCGTTTCATTTTCAGTTTCATTTATTTGGTATAGCCCTGTGAGCCATTCGGCTCTTGAATCGGGTGCAACCGCAACAAAAAAACAATAAAACATCTTAAAGTGACTATATGACCGTGCAAACAGAAAAATGCAGGAAAAAACAGCAAAAAATTCCTGAAAAAGCAGCTCTGCGTCGCGCGTGTTAACGATCGATTCGTCTTGCATTCCACACACAACGTCCGCCTTCCCGTCACTAGTTAGCGACGACGGAGCAGCTATTATCGATGTAACAATCACGAAATTAAATCGTCGGCTAAGTTGATTCCCCATCATCGGGAATCGATACTGAGACAGAATCGATACTGCCTCCCCCCCATCCCCCTCGGTTGTGAAAGCGCGAGGCGGGGGGGTGACCACGTGACGCGGCTTGGAGGGGGCGCGCGTCACGTGATCAGGGGGAGGGGTGCGGGTGGGGGTGTACCACGTGACCCCCCCCCTTTCACGATGGGGGGTGGGGTCAGGATGGGTATTGAGACTGCAGGAGGAGAAATCCGAAGATCTGTGAAGCTCTTTGTTTGTCACATATATCCCGTAGGGGGCACGGGGTTGGGGGGAGAGGTCAGAAAGTTACAACGGCAAACAAAACAGACAACGCTGGTAGTGCAAAATCTAGAAAATGGTCAGCAAGTCATCGAATATAAATAAGTAATGGATTAATTACTTACATAAGTTGGATTAATCAAGATTGGGCAAGGCAGCAAAAAACAACAGCAACAACAACACAGTCCCAGACCACACCGAGACAACGCCACATAGCAGCAGTCCCTCAATAGCAAGGCACATTAACACTCAAACTATCGATGATAACACCACAGGTAAAGGATCAAAGTGACCAATCACATTAGCAAATGTGGCCTCCGTGTGACCAGCACTCATCTCCTGCTTCGGGGTATTTATTTAAAGGAAAATGTTAACGGTGTTAAGGGAGGAAACGAAATTGTTCCAAAAGGCTGCTGCTGCTGCTGCAAAGGCAAAAAGCTTTGTCACCGATTCCTCTTCTTGTTCTAGGGACGGGTTCGTCACGTGGCTGTGTCGGGTGAACAAAGACAAAGAGCCCCCGTGTAGCCTTTAAATAATATCGGGGCAAGTTCGTCGCGAGTAGCGAGCCCCTATTGAAGGCCGGCACTGTGGCACGCGAGGGGTTTGGGTGGCCAGCACCACGCCCGGCCGCCTTTGTCTCCCGAGCGGCGACGTTTTACACACCGCACCAAGGTACCCATTTGAGGCTGAGTTCGACCTAGGGGATGGCCCAGGACCGGTTCAGATCATCGCAGTCACATGTGTTGGTGGCCCTGAGCGGGAATCGAACTCCGGTGCCCGGGTTCGTAGCCGAGGAAGGCGCACGACACGCACACGCAATTTTACTGACGCTGCGATCGGATTTTTAAATAAAACATATATAGACCAGAAATCAGATCGTGATGCTGCTGCTGCTGTTGAGTTGGCACTGCTGGACAAGCACAATTAACAAGAAACTGAAATCCGTCCGACAAAAGCACCGCGACCGTGTGTGGCTGGGTGGCCTTCACGGGGACACGTACATTGGGTGACGTTACGGGAAAGAGGGCCTTCTTCATCGGCCATACATGGGGCACATTGAGTGGATAATTGGACTTGGCAACTTAAAACCATGGTACCCTCTTGACAATTACATTTTAAAGCGTGATTTCTGATTCCCGTTTATTTTTAATTGGCATACGAATAGTTGTCTAATAATAGTAGGCGTAGAGTAGCAACTCCTTCTGTAATACATTAAGACGTGCTAAATAAACTACAGTGTGTACTCTTTGGTTCTTTCGGTAAAGTCACGTAGGTAGAAAATAAAATCAATCACGACGTTTCGATCGCAACACAAGCGGTCGTCCTCGTCCTCAGACGGACGCTTGTGTTGCGATCGAAACGTCGTGATTGATTTTATTTTATAGCTACGTGACTTTACCGAAAGAATCAAAGAGTATGGATTCCTGCAGTCACGAAAGCTTCACATCAAGATTAAACTACAGTGTTACATTTTGATTTAAAGCTTTCGTGACTGCAGGGATTCATATTCTTGGTTCGTTCGGTAAAGTCACGTAGAAGGGAAACAATAAAATAAAAAAATATTTTTTGTTTCCCTTCTACCGAAAGAACCAAGAATATTAACTACAGTGTATTAAAGGTGAAATAATAAAATGTTTCTGACACAATACGTCGTGGGAAGACTTGCTCTGGTGAGGACGAACAAAAGAGCTTCATAGCTCATCGGATTCCTCCAGTATATATAAAAAAAACATTCTGATTCTTATCTGGGAGTGCACTCCTTTCCCCACCCTCCAACCCCCAAATCACCAACGCAATCGAGGTAATTTGGCCGCCTTGCCTTTCTGAGGAAGAGAAGTCTGGGATTTGGTTAGGCTGCGGTCAATCCACACGCGATGTCAAGGACGCCTTCTTGGCATCCGATGTTTCGACTTCGTCAGAAAAAAGTCTCCGTTGACATCCGCGAGCGGTCTCCGAGCGACCGAGAGCTGAGTCCGAGAGCTGAGTTCGAGAGCTGAGTCCGAGAGATGAGTCCGAGAGCTGAGTCCGAGAGCTGAGTCCGAGAGCTGAGTTCGAGAGCTGAGTCCGAGAGCTGAGTCCGAGAGCTGAGTCCGAGAGCTGAGTTCGAGAGCTGAGTTCGAGAGCTGAGTCCGAGAGAGAGATGTCTGTCACTTTCAGGACGCGTCGCCCCACCTTGATGGGCAAACTCCAGCAGCACAGACCGCTCGCTTCAGTTGACGGTGGAATGCGACTCTCCCCCCCCCCCCCCCCCCCAAATAATTTTTGTTAGAATCTGAATGTTTCATCTATACTGCAGGAGGAATCCGATGAGCCATAAAGCTCTTTTTCACAGATGGCCAGTAGGGGCACGGCCTAAGAACGTGAGAACAAACACAAGAACACGATAGGCGTGCAAAGTTGAAGAAAGGTAAACAAATGACCCACACACATACACAGATACAACACTACACCATCCCCATCCTACCGGGCAAAGCCCACTGGCCACAAATTATAGCTCAACAAAGTGGCACCATCATTTGGACATTTATAGCGGCAAAACATTCTAAATAATCTCAATGCGTGCTTCTAAATGTGGAGGGAAAAGTAATTGCGCCAACCCCCCCCCTCCATCCCCGATCCGTGGATCAAACAAATCACTTCGACACGCCGTGGTTTGTGACAGCAAAGAGCAGTCGACGCGAATGCCGTCGCAAGAGGTCACACGTCCGGCGCCACGGCCTCTTCGCTGACGATGCGCGATTAATGAATGTGAGTCTGCGAAATAAAATAGTGGAATGAAACACAAAGACAAAGACAAAGATCCCCCATATAGCCTTAACAGACTGTAGGGGCAAGTGCTGTTAGCGAGCACCTATGAAGGCCGGAACGGTACACGAGGGGGTGGGTGGCCAGCACCACGCCCGACCGCCTTTGTCTCCCTAGTGGCAATGTTTACACACCGCACCAGGTACTCATTTGAGGCTGAGTCGACCTAGGGGAGGCCCGGGACCGGTTCAGATAATCGTCACTGGTGTTGGCCGTGAGCGGGAATCGAACCCGGGTCGCCAGGTTCATAGCGCAGCGCGCTAACCGCTACACACCACGGGTGCCACCAGCAGGCTGCCTGATGCCCTTCTGAGTTCCCACTCACCACAGCTGACTGCTCCAGCAGTGAGTCGGTGTGCGACGAAACTTTGTGTTCACGAAGCCTGCAAAGGTAAAAGCGCAGCCCTGCGTTTGGTGACTCGCGCCACCGCCGACGGAAGGGGCCTCCACGCGAGGGAGCTCGAGAGTGCCCCTCTAGAGGGTACTTTGGTCTACTCTTCCAAGCTGCCAAGACGTCTTGGGAGAGGTGGGAATAGCCACGATTTACCCCACCGCGCGCGACCTGCTGATGAACCGACTGGGGATGTACCCCTGTGGAGTACGCTGCTCGGTGGACAGAGGCGGTGGAATTTAAGGAGCTTTTCCCCATTTATTCAGCTGCCGCGCCTGGAGATTGCACTGGCGCCGTCCGCATCGCAAGACCAACGTGTTGACCAGTACACCGGCGGCAGCTTACAGGATGCCCGCTCCGGTATTAATCACAATGCGAGATCTGCTCCCGGCATCCTGCATATGGGGAGCACTCCCCCCCCCACACCCGACTCCGCTTCCTCGACCGAGTCAAACAATCCACGTGGAGGAAGCAAGTTCAGTTTGGGGCTTTGCGGATGCGCACTTAACCCAGTTTCAGCGATGTGAATCCCACGTGTGCCCGCGCACGCCAGGGCCACGCATCCTGCAGGCCACACCAGAGCCCCGGTCTGCTGATCGTGCACGAGCGACACTGTCCTGTGTGTATGTACCGTATGTTGAAATTCTTTCGCACCGTACGTTGCCAACTGGGACAATCGTAGGTGGGGGGGGGGGGTGACAAAACGAAACACAAAAAGCAGTGCTAAAGAACTACTCATTGTTTTTTTCGGTAAAGTCACGTATGTAGAAATACAATAAAATTATATTAAAACAAAAAACAATCACGACGTTTCGATCACAACGCAAGCGATCTTCATCAGGTATTTCTACATACGTGACTTTACCGAAAAAAACAATGAGTAATTTTATGCAGTCACGAAAGCTTTAATACTTTATTATCAGTGCTACAGAAATTAGTTTTCAATCTAAATTATAAAGTGCAAAGCTCCGGAGGATTCCTACACCCTCATGCATGGTTTATGTGGGACTAGGCAATGTTGTTGAGAATATAATTATTGGCAGATAA